GAAAGTAAAAGTTGAATGCATTTTGAATTTTTACTTCACATTAGCATTAATTATAATTCACATTTAATTTCAATATATTCTATAAGTTTAGTGTAAATCAGTTAATGGACTCAATATTATGTTTTCTGTGATTTATTGGATTTATAGGAAAATTTTTCATAAAACTATAATATTTTTATATAGTGTCGGGAATATTAACAATAAAATTCTTGTGTCCACTGATTATCACCGGAATATTGTTTAGATTCTGGTTTAAAATTCTAAGGATTCCTCTATTATTATAATTGGCAATAAAAATGATGTGTTAATACTTTTTATACATTTAACATGAAATCATTTATAAATATGCGATAATTAGTACAAAACACTTGATATATAACTAACATTAATATAATTGGGATTTAGAGTTGTATTAAAAATATGTGTTAAAGAATATATCAGTCAATTCTGAAGCAAACTTTCATTCAATGAAAACATTATTTGTGTCGAAATTCATCAAATATTTTGCAAAAACGCCTCAAAAAAACATTGTTTTCATCCAAACATATGATTGCAAAAACTTTCAAAACTCACAATCAATTGACGTTTAAATCAATTAATTGTTGTTTTGAATGACAATTAGTGTGCGATTGGAGTGCATATAAGACACTGAATAACGATATGACAGATATGTCTAATAATATAGACTTTGATTCACTTTTATTGCTCACAAAAGTATGTATTCATTGAATTGAATGGCATTTAAATGCATTCAAAATTTAAATCACAAAAATTAAGTTAAATTTTTTACGATATAAACGATTGAATAATACATTTAACGCCCAAATTGTAGGCCAAAAGCGAGTCCGACATCCAATTGATATGCGATGACTATATCGACGTCCAATCGGTGACAATATCTGTGCCACAGTTTGTGGTCAACAAAACGAGACAATTGTTGGACAATTCCTCCATCGATGACAATAGTATCCGAAGTGTTAGTATTAAACATATGATTCACTTCTTGAGCGGTTAATTAACTCCACTTATCATTCACTTGCAGTTAATCACAAATCTGTCAAAATTGGTTTATTTGTGTCTCAAAAGCACTGATTTGTCGGACAATTCACTCAACGCTTTATTTCCGCAAACATTTCACAAACAATTAAAACAATTGTTAATTAAATTGATTGTCAAAAACAGCGACAAATGGATCGCTAAGAGTAGACCCATTCGTATGTATTGTATACCAGATATAGTGAACGTGTATTTTGTGTACATTATTTGCAAATCAATTAATTATTGTCTCATTTTGTATGGATTAGAATCGATGCCATCTTTGGTAGACTTTGAGTGCAGAACCGAATCAAACAAATGTGTTATTGATCTGCAGTTAACTGATCCCAAGGATAAGGTTTCAGTGGTTTTGTCTAAACAACAACTCAAAGAAATGACTGAAGGGATGGCAACTATAAGACAACAGCTTTTCGACGCCACACATAAATCCAATTAATCAATGAATTAATTATTACACATAATTTGTATTATAATCGTATAATTTAAACAAATCTTGTATTAAATTTAGTTATTTGTAAATAAAAAAGAGTACACAATACGGCTGTTAACTATAATTTTGATATATTAATAATTTACAATTTTGAAATGATTTATACAATATTAATTAAGATTTAATTATCATTACTAAAAATACAATGGCCATATTACCATATAGTTAATTCCACTTTACAATGTACAATGTTATAAGTTCTGTAACATACTGTAGAATAGTAATGATTAAAAAATTTAATTAAGATTTAATATAATTTAAATGTTTCAAGGTAATTCTGTTCAGATAGTAATTATATGGGTAATATGTTATATTTAATAATACAGTTTCAAATGTGCCGCAAATAAATGCAAACCGAGTCCGAGCCTTTGCGCCGAGTCTGACCCGAGACTCACTAGCTTTCAATTGGGAATTAATGCAATTGTGCCATGGTGCGTTAAGGGTGCAGCAATTTATAAGGTTTACATTTATTCAAACAATTTCTAATTGAATTAAATATTAAATACAATTAAAACACATGTGTTTAAGTTTTAACAGTAAATGCAATGAGATTTAAATACCGAGTCAAACACCTCTACCAAAGGTATTACATAACACATACACCGGTATATTGTGTCAAGTTTTAAAAGTCCTCTAAATATGAGGCACAGACACAACCACGCTCTTTACAAAGTAATCGGGGGCATTATTGGGCTAATCACCTTGCTGATTCATTGTCATTTACATAATTAACTTGGTAGTTTGTTATATCATTTATTTAATCAAAATTTAAATAAATAATTTAAAATAATGTAAATTTGCATAAATGTAGGCTTCATATTTAATAAGCCACCTTGGTCACTAATATATTACATACACTATAACATACAATATAATATAATGGTCAATTAAATTAAGCAGTAAACATTTAAATGACTTACTTTGATATTAATTAATAAACAACTATAGGAAATGGATTAAACAATTGATAAACATGACGATCACATTGAATAATAAATAGGATTAAGGTATTAATACTTAAATGAGTTACACTGTATGTACTGTTCGTAATGTATGGGAGAGTATGCGTGATATCCGTTTCCGCCCAACAGTCCTATCGCTGTGGAGAGTGAGCTGTGAATTGTCTGCGAGAGTGAGAGAGTGTTGGAGAGAGTGATAGACAGACAGTGTGTGCGAGAAGTGGAGAGCTTTGGAGTCGGTGTCGAAACCATTGGTTAATAGGCTTTGAATAGCATTTCATTTGGTCTCC